TTAACACAACCCAGGTATAATCATGACCTACCTGCCTCATTAACACCTGCCTCATTAATTATGGATAATGAGGCAGTCAGAGCAGTTAACTTAACAAGCGAGTGATGTCGTTAATTACAGCGTCTTGTGGTTGTTAGTTGGTCGTCTTAATAACGGAGGTAATGGTCGTCTTAAACCGAGCGGGATAAACGGATGAGGGCCCAAGGAGGACTTACATATTTTTTACCTAGATCATTATGACTCGTTAAATAATAATGGTAGGTGACTATCATCATCATCATCATTATTATTACCTTCATCATCATCATCTGGCATAATGTCTGGCCAGTATGGGAGAATCATCGTCAGGTCGTGGTCCAGCAGGCGTCACGGAAGCTGTGTGGGGACATCTTAGGAGGTAGTGGATAAGGGTGCCGCTGTCGGGTCTTCTGCATAATGCACAGGAGCGTTGCTCAGGGATGCGGGGGATACCAATCTCCCAAGCAAGATACCCAATGATGATACGGGCAGCAATCCGTCCTTTTCCGCGACCCTTTCCGTAGACATACGAGAGGTCAGGAAGTTTACGGAGGACATCGTACCAGGTGGGCGGGGAGTCCAGGGGATGGCTGCTTCCCGAGCTTCTCGTTTGCAGCCAATTCGGGTCCTTAGCTGTAAAAGTGTCTGAGGAACAACGTAGTCAGGTGTGGCCTTGTTGCAGCCAGTCTGGCAAGGTCATCTGCTGCCTCATTCCCCAAGATACCGACATGACTGGGTAGTCCATAGGAATGTCTGGGACTGGCCTGCATCCTGAAGTGTGGATGTTAACCCTCGTATTCGGAGGATGAGGTCCTTATTTTCTGATCCAAATGCGATCCCGTCGAGAGCAGACCTGGAATCGCAGCAGACAAGCAAGGCAGAAACCATCTGCTTCTTCCCTCAGCGAGAAGGCAGCAAGGAGGGCTATTAGTTCAGCCTGGAGGGAGGATGCCCTGTCAGAAACTCTGAGAGAGACAGTGATAGGCTCAGGGCATCGGGACGGAAGATGTAGACACCAGCCCCGGCCCTACCTGTAGCGGGGGGTCAACAGAACCATCAGTGTAGAGGACGACCCTACCTGGGGACCAGTGGGCGATCCTGGAGAGGTGGTATTTGCAGAGAATAACAGGATTCACGTGGGATTTCGGGAGCGGTCCACCGAGGGCAACCACTTCAGGTTGAAAATCCAGCCAGGGAGAAGGAGACGAACCAACAACAGGTGGGTGACAACAATATCAGGCAGGAGGTCGTGTTCCTGAAGGGCTCGGATGAGTGACCCTCGCCACTGTCTTCTACAGTAGATGGAGGTCGGCCCTGGACAGCAAGAGTCAAGTTGGCTTGGACATAGTTGCGAGGATCCGTAGAATGGAAACGGCAGTTTTTAGTAAAACTCCTGACACGATCCTGTAAGAGGAAAGACCAACTTGGTATATAGAGGTGAGCTTGTCCACTGAGGAGCCCCAAGGATGATACGAGCAGCTTTCCTCTGGATAACTTCGAGACGGTTGACAGCAGTCCGACTAATGTTGACGAGGGCAGGGGCGGCGTAGTCGACACAGGAACGGACAAAGGACTTGTACATGGTGAGAAGTACAGGGATGGTGGCACCAGGGAACCCCTGCACATGGTAGAGAAGGGAGCGAGACGCGCGCCTGTCGTCACCGGAAGTTTGCAGCGACACACACACACACACACACACACACACACACACACACACACACACACACACACACACACACACACACACACACACACACACACACACACACACACACACACACACACACCTTGCTTATATAGTTGACTAGCACGTCATCATGGCCCCTAGTCATCATATGGCCCTAGTCATCATAGGCCCCTATCATCATAGGCCCCTAGTCATCATGGGCCCCTAGTCATCATGCGGGGCCCCTAGTCAAGGGCCCCTAGTCATTATGGGCCCCAGTCATCATGGACCCCTAGTCATCATGGACCCTAGTCATCTTGGGCTCCTAGTCTCATGACCCCTAGTCATCTTGGGCTCCTAGTCATCATGGACCCCTAGTCATCATGGGGCCCCTAGTCATCATGGGCCCCTGAACTAACAGAACCCAAACTATCACATACCTGACCCATGACTCACACCTGACACCATGACTCACACCTGATCGATGACTCACACCTGACACCATGACTCACACCTGATCGATGACTCACACCTGACACCATGACCACACCTGATCGATGACTCACACCTGACACCATGACTCACCTGATCGATGACTCACACCCACCATGAACTCACACCTGACACCATGACTCACACCTGATCGATGACTCACACCTGACACCATGACTCACACCTGATCGATGACTCACACCTGACACGATGACTCACACCTGACACCATGACTCACACCTGACACCATGAACTCACACCTGACACCAAGACTCACACCTGACACCCACTTTTACCCAGTGGTAGTTTGTTTATCTCCGGTTC